TTATTACGACGTCAGCTGGTTGCCTGGGCGGTAGTGTCTCGCGCCAAGTGATTACAAACGTGTCACCGTAACCTCTACAATTTAATTAAATAATTAATATTAATAACACATTATCTACTAACCTCGTTCCAATGTTCACTGCCGTCGTTGAAATTCATTTTTCTTGCAACGAAACAAAACTATTTAAATACGGCTATTTTTCGCTGAAGTTGAATCACAGTTCGAACTTCACAGCGACAAAACGACGAGACGGTAACTTTATGCGCGTCGATCGAGGGAGACAGAGTGGGGGAACTGTATCCAGCGCTTTGACGCTGCATGAAATGGCACCTTTAATCCATGGTGGTGATCGAAACTGCGTCACCTAATGTTGATTCAAAATAATTACTACCTCAATGATACTCTGAATATTGCCGTTATTCATTGTTGAGTAAAAAGAAAAAAATGTGTGCCGTACTTGCGTATTTTCCTCCTCCCACTTCGGTATTACTTATGCGCCAGAATGATATCAGACGTAACCTCACTTCTTTTTTTCCCTTTTATATAGTAAACCGTCGTAGCGAAGGAATATGCCGACCACTTGTAGCCGCCGTACTTAGTATAACTATTATTTGTCACTAGAAAACACAAGTTTACACAGCCGACTAGTAGCCCTCAGGCTGAGTACGAATGTGTAGAGGTGTGTCGACATTTGTGACCATGGAGAATGTATAAGGAGACCGAACTGCCCGTAATCAGAATGGGCCGACGATTGTGCCCGCCAGACGTTCTGAAAAGCAACACTGGGAGCGCTGTCATCAACTAACTCCATTCGCATTCGTACGTGACACATGGTTGTCATATGCATGAAGGTTCGTGGTTATATTAATGATAGAGTACGAGAGGTTAGGAAAAACATATATTTTGGGTATACAGTAACAATATTTATACAGAACAGTTCTGTACCTACACGGCAACCATGAACATCGAGAGATGCGACTTGTCATTGTCTAATCGGTCCTAATGGCATCTAACCACATGTCATACGCTGATTTGTACACTTGAAGAGGGCCAAAACCAATGGCCGAAACGTAGTTAGAAAATAAAGGATTTTTCCTGTAACCATGCAGTCGTGTCGGATTCTTTCACCTGATTGTTAATATATGAGCATAAGATTAATTCTACTCTATAGAATACATACCTTTGGGACACAAAATAAAGCTTTTTTCTTTAGATGGGCCACATTGTGTTTGTGGTTTGCTGCCGAGCCTGTCAGGCAATGCGGGTAGGAACATTTTTTTCTCATTCTGAAACTTGTGAAATTACAAAAGTGAGCGAATTCACAGGTTGAAATTAGAAATATTCTACTAGTATTCACTCACTTTTGTATTTTCCCTCTGCGGGAACGCCGTCAACCGTTAGGTTATTTAGCGTGATTCTTAAGCGTGTCTTCTTGTTCACACCGTCCTTCCTGTCCTTCTAATAAACTGATCAGGTAAAGTTTATCCCAATCCTCCCTCTTCAAGATATCCTCAATTGGTTCCACGTCCGTATTCTCAAGGCCCCTGCTATACGCTGTATCTACGATCCAGTGAGATCAAGATCGGTAACTCATGAGCGAATTCTTAATCGCGTAAGGCGACGCCAGCGCTACAAGTGGCAAAATTTTGATTCACTGGATGGCAAAAATGTCGGCCCACTTTCGGTGACGTGATCCAGACCTAGTTCGGTCTCCTTATACATACTCCATGTTTGTGACAATTGGAACGCCATTTGTGTCGCCGTGTGCACGAAAGTGTCTAGGGATATTGCAATTGGAAAGCACCCAATGATGTCATTTTGACGATATCTTGACTTTTTGTTCTCCTTGGGTTGAGGTAATAAATATTTTGAATGAACATTAGGTGACGCAGTTTCGATCACCACCATGGATTAAAAATACCAAGCATTG